GAAAAACTATTTATTCTAGAATAATAATGATAACCTTTTACTTATGAAAGTAATTATTTTTTACCATAGAGGCAATTATTCTTGAAAAATTTGAAAATATTGGGATCCCTGGGTGGCGCAGCAGTTTGGCGCCTGCCTTTGGCCCAGGGCGCGATCCTGGAGACCCGTGATCGAATCCCACGTCGGGCTCCCGGTGCATGGAGCCTGCTTCTCCCTCTGCCTGTGTCTCTGCCTCTCTCTCTCTGTGACTATCATAAATAAATAAAAATTAAAAAAAAAAAGAAAAATTTGAAAATATTAAAGAAAAAAACTGTTAGGTTCTTAAATTTTTACCTTAATTTAATTTTTATTTACCTAGTAAATCTTGACTGTGTTTTCATAATGTCTAACAAATAGCATGTCTTTGAAAAAGTACATAGTCTAGAAAAAAAAAAAAAGAAACAAAGAACTGAAGAAATTCTACTCTTCACAAAATACAAATAATGTCCCTAGGGAAACATTTTGTCTCCCGAAGAAAGCAATTCGTGCCATTTTTACATATAAAGCATATGTTTTATGTTTAATTTATTATTAACTTCTTAAAGTAGTATAGTATAAATAGTATTTATAAATCAAATGATTTAATATACATGCTGTAACTATTAGAAAATAGCTATTGTATTTTTAATATATGTCGAAAGTCTGAAAAAGAATCCAAATGTAAAGAAAAGGAAAAACTAATAAAAACAATGTGTGTTTTTATTTTCTTTTTCAGTTTCTGTATTAGTTTGCTAGGTCTGCCGTAATGAAGTGCCACAAAAGAGTGGCTTAAAGAACAGAAAGTCACTGCCTCACAATTCTGGAGGCTCAGAGTCCAAAATGAAGGTATTTACTGCTTCATTCTAAGGGCTGGAGGGGAGGGGGAGAATCTATTCCAAGCTTCTCTTCTTAGCTTATAGATGGTCTCCCCCCTGTGCCCCCATAGCCTTCCCTCTATGATGCATGTCTGTCTATATCCAAATCTCCCCTTTTTATAAAGACATCACTCATGCTGAATTAGTACCCACCCTAGTGACCTCACTTTAACTTGATTACATCTGTAAGTACTCTCTGCAAATAAGATCACATTCTGAGGAACTGTGGATGAAGCATCTAACATACTTTGGGGGTTGGAGAGGGTTCCTTTACATAAATAAAGTATATAAAAATAGTTAAATATTTAGACCATGTTTATGTGTGTGTATGGTAAAACATAAAATTTATCTTAACATTTATTTGGTGCAAATTGGTACATACACATATTCACGCACACATACATAAACTCATACCTGAGTGTGCATTGATATGGTTAATCAAAGACTTGTCAGGAAAACATGGTTTGTAGAAAGAACAAGCTAAATCATTGAGTGAAGTGAATACTATTCAGAAGTTCAAAGTATTACTGAAATGAACATTATGTTAGGATAAGATGGCCTAATAGATTTCAGTGGAAAGCTTCCCATTTTAGAAATTATATTATATTAAAAAATAATCCTGTTAAGTCTAAAATCTATTAGATTTATTACTGTAGGTGATTTTAAAAGTTTTACCACAATGAACTTGACAACTATATAGACTAGAATTATTAGAAGTATAAAACAGTATTATATCTGATCTGTCCAATTCATCTACATCATATACCATTTGATTTTAGTAATATTATTTCAAATATATTTCAGGCAAAGTCATTTTTGAATTAAGTCATAATTCTTTGACTCACAAATCATGGAATTAAATAGTCTGCTCTATTTCTTTAGGGGTAAAAAGAAGCAAGTATGTCTATAAGATGGGAAAGCCTAAAGTTAACGTATTTGTAAGCATTATGAGAACAATATAAATTTTACTGAAATTATAATATGAGCTAAATAAAACATGGTTTCAAATGTTCATTGGTATATTTACAGTAATTACACAATTTCATTTCCCTTTAGAGATTGTAATACTTGAGTTAAAACAGTATCACTTTTTAAAATATACAATCCAAAAAACATAGATGTTATTTATCAAAATAATTGTCAGCAATATAAACATTTTAAGTGTAATTAGGTTTTACATAAATTCAATTCTTCCTTTTTCCATGAATCAGCACCATCTCATTTGATTCTCTACATTTCTAACTGTAAGTACAGAATAGTGGATTGTGGACATATTCTCTATTACTTCAAGCTATCAAGTCCAAGCCTGGGTATAAAGTAGAAGCCTTATTCCCAGCACCACATGGGAATAACCTGGAGCCTGTAACAAGGTACCATAAGCAAAGGTTTTGTTCTTGAGTCTTAACATGTAGCCAGAGCTACAGACTTCTGTTTGACCTCTAATTCAAGAATCCATTTCCTACTATGCACTTTTGTAATGCACCTGCCAAGAAATCTCTGTGTTAAATACAGACATGAGGAAATAATCAGGTAAGTATAGAATGTGAGGCATTTAACAGGAAAACTAGCCTGGACCCTTCAAAAATTCCAGGTCACGAAAAAATTTTTAAAATGTGCAACTCCTCTATATTTAGAGGGAAAATAGCAAAGCAAACTATTGTCGTGCAAGAATTTTATTTGTGCCCTTAAGAGAACATTTAAAAATAAGACATTTTGTAGTAATTTGAAAATAAGGCTTATATAATTCATAATTTTATTAAATGGGTGTTAAATATGCTAATATTATGTGGTTATATAGAAAAATGCTATTTCCCTTATGAATTATATATCAAAGTTTGAATGATGAAGTGTCAGATGTCTTTAATTTCCTTTAAATGACTCAGGAAAAAAAAGGAAACATATTTACACAGACATGGAGAGATGGAAATGCGATAAAATAATAGCAATTAACTTATGTAAAAAGATTACTAAAGTTGTACTATTCCTTTTGTTGTTAACATTTTTTAAAAAAGATTTTACTTTTGAGAGAGAGAGAGAGAGCATGCCAGTATGAGGGGAAGGGCAGAGGAAGAGCATAAGGAAGAGAAACAGAATCTCTAGCAGACTCCACACTGAACACAGAGCCCAGTGCAGGCCTTAATCTCACAACCCTGAGGTTATGAGCTGAGCCAAAACCAAGAGTCAGATGCTTAATCAACTAAACCACCCAGGCACTCCTAAGCTTTTACTTAAATTCCAGTTAGTTAACATACAGTGTAATATTAATTTCCAGGTGTGCAATATAGTGATTCAAAACTTCCATATAAGACTTGATGCTGATCATAGCAAGTGCACTGCTTAATCCACATTGTCTATTTCACCCATTCCCCCATCCACCTCCCTCTGGTAACCATAATTTTGTTCTCTATAGTTAAGAGTCTGTTTCTTAGTTTGTCTCCTTCTCTCTCTTTTTTTCCCTTTGTGCATTTGTTTTGTTTCTTAAATTCCACATATGAGTGAAATCATATAGTATTTGTCTTTCTCTGACTGATTTACTTCACTTAGTACAATACTCTCTAGTTCCATCCATGTCATTACAAATGGGAAGATTCCTTCTTTTTATTGCTTAGTAATATTAATAGTAATATTATATATATAATATTAATAGTAATATTATATATATATATATATATATATATATATATATATTTCTTTATCATTCATCAGTCTATGCACACTTGGGCTGTTTCCATAATTTGGTTATTGTAGATAATGCTGCTATAAACTTCAGGATATGTGTATCCCTTTGAATTTGTATTTTGGCATTCTTTGGGTATCTAGTAGTGTCATTGCTGGATTGTAGGACAGTTCTATTATTAACTTTTTAAGGAATCGCCATACTGTGTTCCACAGTGGCCACACCACTTCCCATTGCCACCAATAGTGCAATGAGGGTTCCCTGTTCTCCACTTCCTTGCCAACACCTGTTGTTTCCTGTATTGTTGATTTTAGCCATTATGACATGTATGAGGTGCTATCTCATCATAGTTTTTATTTTTATTTCCTTGATTATCAGTGATGTTGAGCATCTTTTCATGTGTCTGTTGGCCATCTGGATGTCTTCTTTGGAAAAAAATATACATTCATGTCTTCTACTCATTTTTTATATTAGATTATTTATTTTGGGGGTGTTGAGTTTTATAAGTTCTTTCTTTTTGTTTCCATGTAAACCTTTTGTTTTAATAAATAAGACATATTCATGGCTTAGGTTTTAAATCACATTTACAGATGAGGAACACTTTTAGGCCCAAATAGGTTAGCGGTGAATCAACTACTGCCGGGAAGAATGCACTTTTTTGTGTGTGTGTGCAATTTTTAAAAACATCATAAGTTGAAATATCAAATCTGCACAGCGCTGTCCTTTCACAGAAGGCAAGAAACTGCCAGCACATCATGTTGGAGGCCGTCCTCGGTGCTGTAGGCTATGAAAGTGGACCTCCTTCAGGGTCTGGTTGATGTGGAAGTAAGGGCCTTGGCACAGTGCGGACTGCTCGGGAACAGGCTGAAGAGTGTGAGGGCTGGACCCAGCAGCCGTGTGGTTCAAGCTGCTCTCCGGCCCGCCTGCCCTGTCCGGGCTGTTGATGCTGCTGCTCCCACCACTATCACTGCTTGAAGACTCTGTATCCCAGGAATCATGAAAGACAGGGTTTCTACCACTCCTTTTGGTCTGCATTTTAAGCGTAAGAGCAGAGACTTCATGTCAGAGAACACTGTACACATCATGTCTAGGCTCAAGAACTGGAAGCAGAGGACTGGAGGAAGAGCGGAGACTTGGTGAAGCTACTGTGACCACCATCTGATAACCTCATCTCCATGCTACAAAAGCCAATGAAAGTTGTGCTACTTTTAGATAAGCTAAGAAGGAGCTTTCCTGATTATATGAAGTGAAACTTTCTCATATTATTAACAATTAGGATAAGGGCATTAGCTACACAGAGTATCCACTGACAAATACAGACGATGAGAACGGCGAAGAGGAAGCCACACAGATGTCTCATTTCTTCAAATATCAGAAACTTCCACGCCACAGCAGGAGAGAAGTGGATGAACTCTACCTCTCCTAAAGGTTTAGTCCAAAAGCTTCCTGTTGGCATTTGCACCAAATAAGGCTCCCCGTACTTCTGGCATCATCTGTTGGGCTATGAGGTCCAGCAAGCTTTCTAGAGTATTGGAAACCTTTGTTTTATGATCCCCAATATAGATCTCCACTCCACCAGCTATTTCCTCAGGCAGGTAGGATTCCTGATCAATTTGGACATCAACATCTTTTTGGGTGGCAATTTTGTACATAGGAATCGCTTTTTGCACTGCAGTCTTTACCAGAGGGAAATCCTGTTTCCTACAATGAACAATCATTTGGGGCTCCAACAATTGGTACAAACCCTGGAGGACCAGTCCATCCAGCAGCACTTGGTACCTGGTTGTATTTTTTACCACTTTGCTGAGTCTCTGTTTTGCTTCATTTAGTATGTCTGTAATAAGGTCATCTATTGCTCTGAGGACTTTGAGCCTTGCTTGATTCATCAAATTAGACATCTGAATTTTCTTCTGCTGCTCAATCTGCTTTTCTTTCTTCTCATAGTATTCCATAATCTTCAGTCTTTGGGTTTGCACAAGACGACCTTTCTCAATGTTGAACTCTTCCTCTGCCTTTGCACCTATTTCCTCTGCTTCCTCGTTGGCTTCTTGTTCAATAAAAGCCATCATATGTTTAATCTGCTTCTACTTGTCGGCATCAGCTGAGGGCCATGGAGAAAGCTGTGCTAGGCCGGAAGGCCACTGGCTCAAGCGTGGTCTGGAAGGTGGCAATGGAAGGCTATAAGTTCTTTATATATTTTGGATACTAATCCTTTTTCAGATATGTCATTTGCAAGGATCTTCTACCATTCTGTAGGTTGTCTTTTAGCTTTGTTTTTTACTTCACTGTACATAAGCTTTTTATTTTGATGAAGTCCTAATAGTTTGTTTTTGCTTTTGTTTTATACTTTCATGTTAGAGTTGTGATACTCTAAACTCTGTCTTCCTAAACATTGAAAATACAACAATTTCCACAGAGTGGATTTACACATGAAAATTGGGACATTACAGTTTTTGTGAGAACTGAAATATAGAGTATTTACAAATCATAACCAAGCAACACAAGTAGTTTGCTCCCATCCTGGCTTGAGAAACTTATAAAACCATGAGCATATTTAAATAAACTATTAAACACAATCCAAGGTGAAATGAAAAAAGACTTAAAAGTACCTAATCAAAAATTATAAACTAAATTTGAATTGAAATGGCACACTTTACTAATGAGATAAAACATTGTGTTAAAAAAAAAAAGCATTGTGTTATTTTAACTTCTTTATCCATAGTAATGCAAACTAGGTAGTAAAAGCAAAAATATTCAATTGTATATTTGATTATTTTTAACTGAGGAAATTGGTGGGTGGGTGGTAAAAAATTATACCAATTGCTACACTACATCAATAAGATATTATGTTAAAAGTTATAAAATTAAACATAGATACCGGAAGTGTAGGAATTTTTTTTAATTCTTTATTCTTAATTACATTTTCACTATGTGTACTCAAATATCATACTGAGTTGGTTGGCAGTTTAGCTTTATATTATGCGTTTTAAAATGACATCTAGTTTGCACTGAAGTTCCAAGTGGATGAAGAGAAAATGAGAAATAAATGAATGCTCACATTTTTAGGCAATCATGATAATTCTATTTCAATTGTTGCACAAATAACTGAAGTTAAATTCATCCTAAAATTTGGATTGGAGATGTCAAATATCATTTAGAAAATAAATTACACAAAGACCATCTCTCTCTCTCTCTCTGTTTCTCTCTTTCTCTCCCCTTCATCTCTGTCTCATACAGACACATACAAACACCAGAATTTATGCAATGGTGATAGAACATGGAGCATAAAGAAACATAGTTTACATTGTACTGTGATTTTTTGCGACTTCAGTTTGAAATGTATTTACTGAATACAGTGTATCCCTTTCTGGCATATTTTCAATATTTTCTTATTGAATTAATAGTTTGATATCTTTCTATCCTATATAAGAGCATGCAATGCACACTGAGTTCAGTTTCATTCATGTGACTTAGCATTCCCTAATTCTTTTAAACATTAAATATAGAGTAGAAAGCAAATTTCTTCTACATGCAATTCCATACTACATCCTCCATTTGTCCCAGTTGATTTCTTAGTGGTTTCTATCCAACACAGTCTCAAGCCATAAATTTGGGAATTCTTGTGATTAGAGTACAGCGTGGTATGAGATTATTTAAGCCACAGCTGCAAATGTTCTACCTTTCCAAGCTATTTGCAGTTGGTGTAAATATTGTAAAATGGTCCAAGTTGCTTTGTAGAAGTCACTGTCTGTATACAGAGGAGACAGAAAATTAATTACATTTACGGAGACTTCATTAAACTTTATTTCAACTTCTGGTCAAGCAAATCCTCATAAAACGTTAAAGCCTTCATTCTTTTCCTCAATTATCAGGCAAATCACAGGATAGAATAAATTATCTGAAAATCTGAGTTTTCTACTCATTTTCTATGCTGAGTTATGGGACTCAGCATAGAAAATGAGTGATAAAGAAGTGATAAAGAAGAAAATGCAGGAATAATTCAAGATGGCAAAATTAGTATACAATAATTATCCATCTGATTATAGAATAACTGTTAAATCTTGAGTTCTTGAGAGTGAGATCAAATAAGAGAGATCACCAAGAAATCCAAAGTAAGTGAAATTTGAGAAGAATCTTATTGAAGAAGTAGTAAGATTTTTGTAGATAAAGAGGAGCAAGGGATTCCTGGGTGGCTCAGTGGTTTAGCGCTTGCCTTCAGCCCAGGGCGTGATCCTGGAGTCCCGGGATCAAGTCCCACATCGGGGTCCCTGCATGGAGCCTGCTTCTCCCTCTGCCTGTGTCTCTGCCTCTCCCTCTGTGTCTCTCATGAATAAATAAACTAAATCTAAAAAAAAAAAAAAGGAGCAAATGGTATACTGGGTCAAGAAACAAATGAGCAAAATCAAAATAGTAGGGATGAATATGAGATAAAGAGAGAACAGTAGGATTTCTTCCTGACAACACTGGAGGGTCTTGTATAGAAATATTGTAATTTGAGTTTTACTGTAAATTAATATGAAAGGTATAATATGAAATTAACATGAAATATGTACCAACTTTGTCAATGATGATGATCAGAAAGGGGCCTTTGCATAAAATTAGTTAATTATTAATAGCTTTCTTCACTGAACTGAGGTATTTTTAGAAATAAGTAACCTCTATTTGCCTTCATATACCCAGCAAAAACATAATGTGTGAGGCAAGATAAACAGTGAATAGGGAATGAAATAAAAAAGGGATGAATTAATAAATAAATGAAAAGGCAAATAAATGCTTGAAATAAAACACTTTAGACTATTCTGATAGCAGTAGGATTTTTAATAATTCTGAAAACTGCTTAAGTGTGTGGAAAGAAAATACAAATTTAAACTACCCTTGGAAATTAGATATATATAAATCAATGATGTGACAACTTCATAAAGATCCTAAGATGCACCATGGTCATTTCTAAACTTTTAAGATTTAGTGAGTGGATAACAGTTCCAAGTTTATTTTAGTATAGAGCTTTCTATTGTGCCTTAGCATTCTGTACTTTTTCTTAAAAGTACCATTTTGAGTAGATTCTTATTTTTCCTTTTTTTGTATTATTTTTTTTTGGAGTTCGATTTGCTAACATATAGTATAACACCTAGTGCTCATCCCATCAAGGGCCCCCCCCATTAGTGCCCGTCACCCAGTCACCTCGTACCCCTGCCCTTCCACTACCCCTTGTTCGTTTCCCAGAGTTAGGGGTCTCTCATGTTCTGTCACCCTCTCTGATATTTCCCACTCATTTTTTGAGTAGATTCTTAAAATATTTAAGATAATTATCAGTTTTTTCTGATGTTTGAAAATACCATGGTGTATAACATCATAATGTGACAAAGAGTGTTAAACCCAGAATTGAATACAATAACACTGGAAATTATACCGTCACTGAACACTTCTTTGTATTTTCTTTGTCCCTAAGGGAAGAAATGAAAAATGCATTCAGATTGCTTTATTTAAATCAAATTAGAATATAATTATAGTTTTGAAACATTGGGTTTGTTGTTAGAGAATCACAGAAAAGTAGTAGGAGAAAATAATAATTAGTTCCTTCAATGCACATAAGATCTTTGTAAAATGAAACAAACATTATATAAAATTCTGTATGTTCTCTTAAGCAAGCAAAGTCTGAGAAGCCTCCAATGCTGAATACATAAAAAACAATGGATGTTGCAATATCTACCATTGTATAGATTTAGTTTCTGAGGCTTGTTACACTACTCATTACAAAACAAGTCAAGCAGCATATCCTTTACTGATTCTTTGTGAGCAAGAATATACAAATTAAATATCCAATAAAATAAATAGTAAATATTCACATTTATGCACCTGTATTTAAGATTGATCTTTGAAGATATGATTGAAGGTAGAAGTTAGGTCACCTCACACTGAATTTGTGTGTTTTCAACCAGTGCTTATTGTAATTTTCATTTTTCTATCTAAATCAAAGTAATCCAAATCTTTGGTAAATGATTGCAGAATTTGATGCATATGTGATATTTTAGAATAACTATGTTATATGCATATTTGTGGAATTGAGGCATCAGTGTAGATTTGGGAATACAGGCACACACATATATACATATACACACATGTGTCTTGCCCTGGCTTTGTCTCTTGAGAGAACCTAAAAGCAGCAATTGTCCAAAAGCTTTGAGTCTACCTACTGCTTACATCTTAGCTTCTATATGCCATTTTCCACAAACAGGAGAGCGAGGATGTGCTATATATATATATATATATATATATATATATATATATAGAGAGAGAGAGAGAGAGAGAGAGAGAGAGAAATATATTGAAAGGACACAGAAGCTAGCACTAGGCAAAATGAAGATGATTTGAGTTTTAAGATAAATGATTGAGGCAACAAATTGTAACCCATTGAATAAAATAAAAAGCAATGTGTCCATGAAGATATAAATATGTGGAAACTTTTGTAAAGAAAATCACATTTATGTAGTTTCAAACTATTTCTATATAAAAATAATTATTTTAGAAAGAAAAAAAAATAGTGACTTTACAATGAAAAATCCTAGCAGACATTACTATGCTTCAGTGATCTAAATGAACATCAAAAGCAATGGAACAATTTGAAATTGTATGCTACCTGGTAGAATGTATTCAGAAGAATTCAATGTCACTTGTAGGATATTCATGCAAGGATGCATAACCCGAAACTACCTATAAAGAAGCACTACTTAAGGTATCATCTGTAAGAAAAGAATTGAGACATAGAATAATTAAATCGTCTAAGTCATGAGAATCAAGATAAAGTTAAGGAACTCATGAAGGATTGACTTTGTTTTCAAGATATTATCATTAAAATTGTCAAACTAGACAGAAATTTGTAGATTATATAGTAATAATCTGTTAATGCCATTTTTTTGTCTTTGATGATTATGTCATGTAGGTGATTATATTATACAGGCAATTGTCCTTTCAGACAGAAAAGTTATAGTAATTTATTTGAGGCATCAGATCTGCAACTTATTTTCAAATGTTTAGGAAAAAAACAGTTCTTTGTACTGTAATTCTAAGTTTTTGTAGTTTGTATCTATTTAAGAAGTACCACTATTTTATCTTTAAATCATTTGTCAGCTTTTGAAGCTCTATGATTTTGGAGTCTTAGTGTTACCAAGAAGCTATGAAAGACAGATGGGTCAACCTCCACTTGTCTTTCAGAAAATGATACCCACCAAATAATCAAAAGCCGGGGAGAGTCATGTGCAAGGAATGAGATAAACTAAAAGTAGATTGTAGCTTACGGACATTGTAAAGTTCTTTTGAACAACACCAAATTGGATTAAGTGGATCAGCCATTCATTCTATTTCACAGAGTAAAAAGAGAACTCTCTTTTGTGCAAGATAAGAACATCTAGATCCTTAGCAATTCTTTTACACACTATTTCCAGAACAAACATGAGTCAAGAAAATATGACTAAAGAGCTTGAAAAAAAAAAAGACAAAAGAAGCATTTATAGAAATGATCTAGTTATTGACGTTAGCAGATAAGGCTAATACATATGATTAATTTGCAAACAAAATAAGAAATGAACAAATAAGTGGAAGAATGATAGATTTTAGCAGATAAATAGAATCTACATAAGAGAATTAATAGTAAAACATGTCATTTAAAAATAGATTAGGCCTTGCAGGTTAAAAATTATCAAATTGGAGGACAGATCACTGGAAGATTATCAAAGTGAAAAAACTGAGAAGAATATATATTAAAAATAAAATTTTAGAGTATAAAAAACATCCAAAATCTTGAAAATTTTACAGTGGGTATAATAGATTTCCAGAAGGAGAAAACAGAGAAAATGAGAAAGAAGCACTATTTAAAGAGATAATGACCAACAGTATCCAAAACGAGTAAGAGCAACAATCTGCAAAATCAAGAACTTTGTGAAACTCAAGTATGTTAAATTTTCCCATGTGAAAATTTCTACTTTCATGGTATTTGCACTTTATGTATTTAAAAAGCCTGAAAAATAGGAGTTCCTTCACAAACACGAGGTCCATTTAGAAAAATAAACCAACATAATTAAATTTTACTAAAAATGTACGACAGTTAAATTTTAAACATTGTTCAACAAAAGCCAAATAATCATTCCTAAACTTTTAAGTTGTTTATTCAATGTATTTACACAAATCCTTGTTTAAAAAAAAAAATTCAACAAGATGGGATACCTGGGTGGCTCAGTGGTTGGGCATCTGTCTTTCGCTCAGGGCGTGATCCCAGAGTTCCGGGATCGAGTCCCACTTCGAGCTCCCTGCATGGAGCCTGCTTCTCCCTTTGCCTATGTCTCTGCCTCTCTCTCTGTATCTCTCATGAATAAATAAATAAAATTAAAAAAAAATTCAACAAAATGTCATTAGTTACATTTAATGTACATAATATATTCTCTGCGATATGGCAAAACATTGTTTTATTTTAAAGATTAAACAAATTATGTGATATTAATTGAATTTTATAGGAAGAAAGTTTAAGATTCTATATATTTATACATATTAATATTTGAAGCTAAAATGTTTATCACATTTAGTATATATCATAGCTCTAAAATTGGTTTAAATTTTTAAAATAATATCAGTTTATGTTTAATAATATTTAAATATGAAATTTTCTTCATTCTTAATAATAAACATAATGGGCAAGGGAAAGATGGTAATTGCTGAAAGCTATTTGGCACCATTTGGCACTTAAATTCTGGGTGGGTTAAATGTTAAAATGCTAGGTACCCAGAGTACCAAGAATAGACTTCTCAGTTATTACTTTCTGCTCTGAAATTTATTGAGGTCTTTAATAAACACATATGTGAAAGAAACTTGCTTAGTATAAGAAAACCAATATCAAGTATTCTAAAAAAGAGTTTCCCACTTTGGGAGGATGGACAATCTTTATTGTGGGACCATCTGTGCATTGCAAGATGTTTGGCAGCATCCCTGACCTCTCCTATTTATATCTTAGTCTCACTTGTCCGCAGACCTAATTGTGACAATCAAAACATCCCCAAATATGACATAGCCAAATGTCCCTTGAAGAAAAAAAAATCATTCCAGATTTGAAAGCTGCTGTTCCAAAATAAGAAATTTTCTAAAAATAAAGGTGTTGGTATGCCCTAAAGATCTCCTGATAGGCACATAGTTCTCACAGATTTGGGCCCTTTTATTATTAACTACTTGCTTACACAGTTATCTAGTATTCAAATATTATTTGTGAGACTTAATCTACTGAGGTACACAACCATATCCAAACCAAGATTCTAATTTCCTTGCTAATTTGTAACTGTGGCTAGTGAGATATACCTCTGCTTCGTAAGCAATGTTTGACTTTAATGTTGAATAAGATATTGCAGCCTTCATAGAATGAAAGAAGTAATGATTTACAAACAGCTATTTATAAAATGGCATTATAGACTTTTTCAACAGAAAAGATGTAGCAAAGTTATTGCTTTTTCATTTTTTAATATTTTTTCTGTTGCCTTCTTCAAAATATTATAAAGAGAAAATGAATTCCAGAAGAAATTACTTGTATTTTTAACTAAGTTATTTGGATAAAATTTGCGTATTACCAATTTTGTTTTAAGGTTTTATGCTAGGTATTTGATATGCAGAAGTGAATATCTATATACTATCTACTGGTCTATTATTGTCTATTATTTGTTCCCACATACAAAAAGTATACCGGTTTCTGTTTTTTTTTTTTTTTCAATGTAGCTCTAGCTCTTGACAAAAAGTAGAGTTTTTATTTTTGCAGGGGAATGAAATTGTAAAATCACTAAATAGTACCTTAAAGTGTGGTTATTTATATATTTATAAGAAAGGGTACTAGAAAATCTAATGAGCTAACAATATACTTCCTTTTGTAAAAATTTGAGAACTCTCAGCACCCTAGCAAGGATAAACAATGGCTTTCATACAAGCAAATTTGAATTTTTAGATTGCAACACAAAATTTTAAGATGTACCTTTTATAACTAGAAAAATATGACATCAAAATTGCTTTACATATAATGTGATAAATAAGATTGCACATATGGCTACACTTAGAAAAAGTAAGGTTTTCCATATTTTCCTCTTTGTTTTTAGCTCAATGCCTTCATATGATTACATACATATTGTAACAGTTATGAATGTAGATATGTGCTCTTCAGAAATATTTGTTATACTGAGGGATTTGTTATACAGCTATATAGCCTACAACTTTTAAACTATATTTTCTGCAAGGGGAACAATATCTCATAGAACAGGATTTGGCAAACTTTTTTTGGGGGGGGCGGTGGGGACTTTTTTGTAAAGGGTCAAGTATGGCTTATTTTAGGCTTTGCTAGCCACACATCTCTGTTTCAACTACTCAATTCTGTCATTTTAGCAGAAAATCAGCCATGGACTAGACATAAGCAAACAAGTGTGGCTCTGTTTTCAATACAAATATATAAAAACAAGCAGTAGGCAGGATTTGTCCACAGATCGTCCTTTGTCCACCCCTGTAACAAATTATTGTGCGTACTTAACCTATACACATTTTTGCTGTTAATAGGGCGATGTTCCTCTTTCCTGGTGGACGGGTTAAGTCATTTCCTACATCTTATGTAATATGAAATAGATGCTTCAATTAATAAATTAAATAGTGTTATCATGTCTTTTAGAATGCAGCCAATATTGTCATTAGGGAACTCTCTTTTTTAGTGAATTTTTTCAATTTTAACACAGTAAAACTACTACATAAATATGAAAATATTTTCTTTTATAAAAATATTATTTGTTATAGAAATGTGTACTTATTACTACCAATTATAGCTCAAAGGTAATTAGAAAATACTATAGATACAAATGGCATTAAAAAATTAGAGTCAGCCAAGGAGACTCTAAGTTACTGAACCTTAAATACATGTTGCTACCCTAGGAATATGGAATTGAAGATAAGTTTGCTAAGGGGGAAAGGTCTTTTGGCACCAAAACTTATGGCTGCTTCAGAGCTTGCCTGGGCATAAAGAAGTATATTTTCATAATATACTTCAAAAAAGAGAGAGAGACAATATTATTACCAGTTAAAGAAACATATTTTTTTAATATTTTCCTATTTTTAGTGACAATAGAGAAACACTCACAAGAATCTTATTTATGGTTTTACATATTACATTTTTCTCCACCTTTCTATCAACTTGAAATGCAAATGTTGATTTGCTTTTGGCTTTTTCTAATCCTTTCAGAAACAATTTAAAAATTATCTGTTTATATCTGGCTTGAACATACTTCTTATTGAAAATAAACTTTTTATGTTAACAGAGCGAATAAATGATAATTCTACTAAAATCTCAATGGCTACAGGTGATAAGTTCTTTTTCAGTTTCTCTGCTCACACTGAGTACCACCTACTTCCCAACCTTGGTATCCCATGCAATTTACCTTTCTTCTTTTCTTTATAACTTTTGGTCTTAGCACTATGAAAGATATCTACTCTGAAAATGTTATGAAATTTTTCAAATGTCTTCTCAGTTTTTGCTCCCTGAAACACCATTATATTAAAAGGTTAACAAATAGAAGAGATTAGAATTCGTTTTGGTTTTTTTTTTTTTAAGATCTTATTTATTTATTCATGACAGAAAGAGAGAGAGAGAGAGAGAGAGAGAGAGAGGCAGAGAGAGAGAGAGAGAGAGAGAGAGAGAGAGAGACAGAGAGGAAGAAGCAGGCTCCATGCAGGGAGCCTGACGTGGGACTCGATCCTGGGTCTCCAGGATCACACCCCCAGGTGAAGGTGGCGCTAAACCGCTGGGCCACTGGCGCTGCCAGAGATTAGAATTCATTCACATTCTCAACCTTCCTATCCCAAATAGGAAGGTGAACACCTACTTTTAACATAAAACTCTATTCTCTGAACTATTACTTAAAAAGCTCAGTGTTTACAGTATACAATAATTTTTCATGTCATTTTTTCATGCTATTTATATAGAGCACACTTTTTTATTTATTTTATTTATTTTTTATAAATTTATTTTTTATTGGTGTTCAATTTGTCAACATATACAATAACACCCAGTGCTCATCCCATCGAATGCCCACCTCAGTGCCCATCACCTAGTGCCCCCCCCCCCCGCCCATCTCCCCTTCCACCACCCTAGAGCACACTTTTCTTTAACCTTTTCCATCATGTGTTGAAATTACTTATAATTTTTGGCCTCAATTTTATCCTAATTATTTTCTCTTCATAAGAAACTCTCCATTGTCAAATTTAACAACAAATGTCTTATTATACTCCCATTAGTGACTGAAATTCATCAAGCTATATATGCAGTATACATGTGCTTTGGCATAGACACATTATACTTCAATAAAGTTTTAAAAACGCATCATGACTGTAGTTTAGGCCTACCAGAAAAATATCCCCTAGAATAGAGAATCAACACCATTCACCTTAAAGGCTGTACAGTTGTCCAAGTTAAACCATTTTATAAATGACATGCATAGATTACAGAATCATATCTCATCATTTATCATTGATGACTCTGCGGATATCAGTTTATATTTAATTATTATCACTCACAAAATTGAAAACATATCAAGGGCATTGCTGCTTATTTTGCAGAGTTGAACTATTTATCTTAACATTTAAGTTTGAGAAATTCTGTAGCTGACATGTAAAGATCATTTCATGCAGTCTAAAGAGAAGCCTCAAATAGTTTAGGATTTTTTTGGCTGAATGATTGAAAGGGGATTATTAGAATTTTTCAAAATTAGAGACAGATCCCAGGTAAATACAGTGTACTTGATGTTGGCAGAGGCCTCTTACCAATTAGAACAGCTAAAAACATGAGGTGACTGCCACATGAACTATTTTATTGCAACATAAATAATTGCACATAATAAAAAAGAAATATTACCAAAGTCTGTCACCTTCATCCCCAGTGACACTGCCCCAAGGCAACACATTTCACCTTTCTGTTTATTGGTTCATCTGTTGATTCTATGTCACATTATATTATATATATTAACTCCATTTCTTGATTTGTCAATTTACTTTCAATTAACTCCCTACTGTGAAAAAAAAGGAATAAATAAACCCTTTTTCCCCTTCTTAAATATCTCTGTAGGGTTATTCTTCATTTCTTCTATTGATTACTTTCATATTATACATAAAATATTTATGGCCCTTTCTCTTAACTGCAAGCAGTTTATTTTGGCTTCTATTTAAGTTGGATAAAGAAATATGTACTATTAAACTTTTGTCAGCGTCTAATACCCTTTTTTACTTTTCAAATTCCAGCTTTTCTACTTTGCTAATTCTTCTAGTTTTTTGTTTGTTTGTTTGTTTGTTTGTTTGTTTGTTTGTTTTTTTAATTTAGGTTGGCAAGGTGTATACCTGTTATATAAAAGTGTTAACATGCTGGTCTCATGCTGTGTTTATGCGTTAAGTGTAGACATTAAAAACAAGGAGAGGATAAAATTATGAACACCCTCTGTATTACTAAAACAACTACTGTGATTAAACCTATACAGAAGTAGACATAGTAAAACCCCCTGTGCTCTTTGATGCAAATAGGAATAATTTCCAAATGTCAAGGACAGATCCTCATCCACCATTGTTACATTCCATATATTGTTAAAAATAATCCATATTTTATTTTGCTTTATGATTGCACCATGATTCTTGAACAGTTTTACCTGAAATTTCTAATTGTTTTTTTTTTGTTGTTGTTGTTGTTGAAAGAAGAATCACATGTCATTACCATATTTCTAACAATTTCTTAACAATATCCTAGGTTTGATGAAATTTGGTTGCTGTACCAATGATCAAAACAACTGTCATTTTTTGTTAAAAAGCAGAAATTTATTTCTGTTTAACTAATAATCTGCTCTTTTAAAAAACAAAGCTGGTATGTCATCTTCATGTTTTAGGCTATTTTTATCTTGATTCTCTTCCAACCTCATCATTAGGTTTGCATCTTGCAGTCTAAAAGATCTGTACCAGCTACTAGTATGTTCCAGCCAGTGGGAGGGGAAAAGTGAGGAAGAGGAGGGTATGAGCCTTGCCTTTCAACTATAGCACCAAGAAATTGCATATGTATTGTACTTTAGTAATTCAGGGTTAATCTGTGCAAGATGCTATAGCTCTTCTCATCTGTAAAATTCAAATAGTGATAGTACATACTTTCTATGGATGTGGTGATTATCCAATGAGCTACCATTTATAAAGCACTTGGAATAATACCTGACAGAGTAAAATAATAAGCACAGTAAAATTATTTACTACTATTACTACTTATTTTGTTACTTATTGACCAGAAACTAATTATATGGCCAGAGTTTGTTGCAGGGAAGCTAATATAATTTTTTCCTTCACTATCATGCGCTGAGGTAAACTTTTATTGTTATAAGAGAAAAAGAGAAGACATTAGAAGGGACAATAACAAGGTCTGTGATATGTTCCATTAATTAAAAATAACAACATACCTATTCTTTTCTTGATGTTTTTCCCTAGACTTGGGATGCCTTGTTCTGATGTAGAGTCATTCCTCCTAAGGCCTTCCTTTCCTGATACTACCATATTCTATCACTTTGTGTAATCTTATTTCTTGGATTTGTTTTCCCTTTGGTAGACTATATTCTTTTCTTTCTCTCAACCTCTTTGTGTCAGAAAGAACAAATAACACATGGTCTTAGTCCATTCAATTTGCTCTAACAAAAATGCTATAGATTGGGTAACTTACAAACAATAGAGATTTATTTCTCACATCTTTGGAAGCTGAGAAGTCCCAAGATCAATGTGCCAGCATGGTAGCATTTTCGTGAGAACCCTCTTCCTAGTTTATAGCTGGTAACTTCCCACACTGTCCCCATATGGTGGAAGGGACAGGGATCTCCATGGGGTCTCTTTTGTAAAGGCACTAATCCCATCATGAGGGCTCCACACTTTTGACCTTATCACCTCCCTAAGAGCCCACTCCCTGATACCTGCATATGTGGGAGTTACAATTTTAATATGAATTTGAGGGGACCCAAACATTCACACCATAGCATATACCAAATTTTAATTGCTTATATCTAAAAATGCCTTACTTCCGTTCTCAAGTCTTAAGTAATTGCCTTGTAGAATACTAATTTTAGTTCAATATCATGTTTTCATCAAAAATTTCAAAGATTTCATTCCATTGCTTTCTAAAAGCTAGTTTTTTTTTAAGATTTTATTTATTTATTCATGATAGTCACACACACAGAGAGAGAGAGAGAGAGAGGCAGAAACACAGGCCACCCAGGGATCCCCCTAAAAGTTAGTCTTAATGGTGAAAAAAAAGTCTAATAGAATACTTGAGCTTTATCTTTTACAGATAAACTATTATTTTTAAAAAAACATTTTATGTCTGATGTTCTAAATTTTCAGAAAAAATGTATTTAAATATCTATCTTTTTTATGATTCATGCTGTTTAGAACTGAGTGAGATCTTTCAGTCTGAAAATTTGTACTTTTTTTTTCCACTCAGGGATTTTTTTTTTACTGTTTCTTTGATTATTTCTTTCATTTTTCTTTGTTGTCTTTTTCTGGATCATCTATTAGAAAATTTATTAACTTCATAGATATCTGTCCCTATACACTTTATTTTGAAAAGTTTTTTCAAGCATTGTCAATTTTTTTTTTTCTTTCCCTTTACTTTACATGGTGAGAAATTTCCTAGGGTCCTTCCAGACTTTCAAGCAGATATTTTACTGTCACAATCCTACCTTAAATTCCAAAATTGCTGCCACGGTCTCTGATTATCCTTTCATCAGAGTAAAGTGTTCTCTAGATGCTCTCTTCATGAGTCTGTCTAAAATACTAATTAAAACTATCTATTTAACTTATCTGTTTCCTGGATTATTTTAGGTATCTCTAAAATTACTTTAGCGTTGCTGACTTTCCTCATATGCATGAATTTCTTATATCTTTCATATTTAAAAATGAAAACCTGCTTTTTGGCTTAAATTTGATGGCTTGTTTAATTACATGTGCTTGCTTGGATCGCTCTTTCACATAAAATTCTGTTACACATTTGGCCCCTTCCCTGAAGATACAACTTGACTTTTACTTCTGTGAGACATGCCAGCTGACTGGTTTCACTTTAGGTTATATGGGCCCAGAATACAGCCTCATGTTCTCTCCACTTCCCATTTGTGTTCCCCAAAGAAATATAACTTAATTCTAAAGTGCCCATACACACACTAGGTGTTCAGTGGCACCCAAGTTCATTACCTGCTTGAACATGTAGGCCAGTGTCATTGCTGCCATTCTTTCTGTCATTACTTAGAAATGTAACCTATTTCTACTTATTAGATTTGCTGACTCCAAGATTGCAGCGTTTCCAGGTTTCAACATGGAAGAAATAATTCCACCTCCATGGACTTGTCTAATTCCTGGTTTCTGTTGTGGTTAACGATGCTATTGGCATATCATTCCGTGTGAAATCAAACCTTAGACTTTTCAGAAAAGAATCAAAGTCCCTGGTCCATTGTATCCTACTTCTCACAAAAGTCTAAAAATTGCTTTTGACTATTTTTGTGTACTTTGGATTTTAGAGAGGGGAAGAAATAAATACATTTCATTGGGTTTCCATGTCAAACTTGAAGAGACTATTTGAAAGCTATGGAGATTTCCAATAATGGCCTTGAAACACAAAGAACATTTTTCAGTATTATAATGTGAATGCAGTCGATGGCACTGGAAGCAAATGCTCCAAACCATCTTTGAAACAGAGTAGCATAAAATCCTCCTAAGGGAAAAAAAATTATCTAATGAGAAATATTGTCAAAAATACTTATATTGTTTAACTAGGCAAAATATAAGGTTTGTTAAATCTTCGGGGGAGAATGGAATTAAATGCTAAGTCATTTATTTGGTTCAAGAGATTACATAATTTACTTGAAGTAGATAGATATGAGTCTTCCAAGTTCTCAAGAGCTTAAAGCTCTCAAATAAATCACATGTACCTAGTGGGTAATGACAAAGATTGCTATGAAAAGCCTCATATCAATCACATATACCCAGTGGGTGATAGCATACACAGCTATGAAAAGAATAAAGTCGAATAAACTACAGAGTTTGAAAAACATAAGATTTTCCCATGAATAGCTTTTTTACTTAAACTCTAAATTTATGTTTCTTCATCTAGAAAAAAAAAGAATAAAAATTTTCCCTTTGAAGGACTTTTAAAAGGATTATAAGGAATGTTACAGCTAGTTGATATTTTACCTAATAGATACTCAGTAATGTTGAAAACAAAAAATGATATTAAAAATTGAATTAGAATTATCTAAGTTTTCTCTGTTCCCTGAATGATCTCTAATCCCTCGAAGATCAGCTACTTATCTTGTTATTTATGGATTTATATTATACACAGACTAGTGACTATATATTAGTCCAGAATCGTAACTTCTCAGCAATGTGGAAATCCTGATTTTAAAAAATGGAACAGTAAAGAGAAAAAAAATGAGCACAAAGATATGAACAGTTCTCCTGTTAAAGTATCCCTACTGTGTAGTATCTGACCCTCAAAAATACTCTGATTAAGTCTACCTTTTCACTAAGAGGTGTACCCATCTACAAAAGGTACATCTTTCTAACATCTATGACTATTCAACATATTTCAATTACTTTATAAAGTGTTTTGTATTTTATCATTTCCTTCTTACGATATGCTATAACATTTTCCTTATTTCAAATATGTATATAATGAAACTGAAGATGGAGATAATATGCCTATTATCATGTAGCTCATTGTGAAGCCAGAAGTTTATCCCCCTGTTAAAAGCTGAACTGTGTTCCCCCAAATTCATGTGTTTATATCCTAGCCTCCAGCACCTCAGAATGTGACTGTATTTGGAGACAGGGTTTTTAAGGTGGTAATTAAGTTAAAATGAGGTAATTAGAGTGGGCCTTAATGCAATGGCTAGAATCTTTATCAGAAGAGCAAAGTAATTCATAGACAAAAGAGGTAAAATCTTATGAAGATAGAGACAAAAGGCAGCCATCTATAAGCCAGAGAGTGAGACTTCAGAATAAGCATACTGTCAACACTCTGAGTTTGGACTTGTAGTCTACAGAATCGTGAGAAAATAAATTTTTATTGTTTAAGTCACTTGGTATGTGTGATCTTTTATTATGGCAGCCCTAGCAACCTAGTATACCAAGACCGGACCATGTGATCACAAGTTCATAACCTTGGTGCTCACAACCTGCTCATAAGCAAAACTTAATAGATATTTATAAGGAAATATAGATAATTTGCACATTATTAATAAATTATTTTCTATACAGATAAAATGAATTAATTGTATATATTACAAATAAACATAACTAGATCCTTCCAGTGATGATTAATTTTATGTATTCACTTGACAATGCTAAGGAAAGCCCAGATAGCTGGTAAAATCTTTTTACTGAAGTTTGTCTGAGAGGATATCTCCTAAAGAGATTAACATTTGAATCTATATATGCAGTAAAGAAGATCCCCTTCACCAATGTGGGCAGGCATCAGCCAATCCATGGAGGGTCTCAATGAAACTAAACGGCATAGGAGGGATGAGTTTGCTCTTTGCTTAAGCTGGGACATTCAGCTTCTCCTGTCCTCTCATTTCCTGGTTCTCAGGTCTTCAGACTCAGACAGGGACAGACACTGTTCACCATCTGCTTAGTCTCAGGTCTTGAACTCAATTCGAATTACATCACCAGCTTCCCTGGTTCTCCAGTTTGAGATAGCCAACCTTGGGACTCCTTAGCCTCCATAATCGTGAAAAGCAATTACTATAGCAAGTCTTCTCTTATGTGTATCTCTATATATTTTGTAGGTTCTATTTCTTTGAGAACCCTGACTAATGTGGATACCAAATCTCCTGTCTTACATAGAGTTCTTAAGTAAAAGTAGAATAAATAAAATGGCACCAGAAATATAGGAACTATTAGCAGGAGTTCTTATCTGCTGGTGAGATAACATGATTTTTCTATTATCATCATATTTTCTATATTCTCTAGTGTTTTTAATTGAAATCTATTAATTTTTTATTTTAATTTTAATTTTTTTGAGAGGGGAGGAGTGGTAGAGGGAGATAGAGAATCTCTCAACTCTGAGATCATGACCTGAGCTGAAATCAAGAGTTGGATACTCAACCAATTGAATCACCCAGATGCCCCTATTTCTTTTTAAAATGCATATTAAATATTATCTGTAGCATTTACTCCAATAATTATTGATTACATTATTAGAATGTACCTGGCAGATGCTGGGTGGAGAAAATGAGAATAGAACACACTGACTGGTAAAGCATAATCATCACAAATAAATCCAGTATGATTCGTTTCACTAAATCTTTAATGGTCACTTTTTACTATTGCTTTTTCTTTTTCTTGTTAATCATCAATGATAGTTACCCACCTCTATCATGATCAACATTTCCTTTTAAAGGAGAATTCCAGAATTTCCCTCTTCATGTCTACTTCCAATTCCATGTGGGTAGAGGCGGGGACACTATTCAACTCTTACTGCAAAGTTCAGGTGAACAGGAGTCTAACCATTTCACCAGTGCTGTTGACCATGGTTCTGGATTATTCAAAAACTGGTTGGGTGCGAGTGCAGTGACACTCTAGACATGTCAAGGAACTTGTGAGGCTGAGTTACCTGATAGTGTCCCATGCTTGAGCCTCAGCAATAACATGCTTTTGGTTGACATGCTCAGTTATATTGGCTTTACTTGGGGTGCATGGGTCAAGAAAAGTTTCACAGGGCAGGTAAGTTATGCCCCAAACAGCCTCTATCTCTGAAGACTCAAACTCTTATTTTAGAATAAATAAGATAAAGCCACACTTTCCCATCTTCCTGGTGACTACTTCTTTGTGGGCACTGTACTCTCATGTACTTACCACTACCTCTTTAGAGAGGAGTTCTAAAAACCCACTGATATGTTCAGGGCTTGGGTTTGCAACCTCAGAACATTTTTAGTATGTGCTTTGTCTTTTTCCTGAGGGCTGGAGATGCCTCCTGGCCAAAAATACACATGAACAAAGAAGGATCACTCAAGTCTTCCTTCACAGAGCACCCACTCTGCTCTACATTGGTCGTTGTTTTGAGTAACATCAGAAGGACTAGTTTATTAGCTTTGGCTGGACAACCAACATAATCTCTACCTTAATATTCTGCTACAAAGAGACAGATACCTGGCTTCAGGTTAACTATTCAGAGTGACTATACATTTAAGAGCCAGCACTACACATTCTAGCACTTTCCTTTTTTTCTCCTCAATCCTCTTTATTCATCCCTCGTTCTTGTATATTTCTACTTGCTCCATCTTCATCATTAGGACTCCATGATTTATTTTCTTTTCCTACCTCTTTGTCTCTCACAACAAAGCAAAAATAAAACAGCAAAATTGTGATAGATATTTTTATTATCATTGATCAAATTATATAAGTGCTAATGGTATAAAAAGGTGGGGAGAAGAAAAATTTAACTTCTATCTAATTAGGTAAAGGAAACTACTTTAAAACTACTACATTTTCCTTGTTCTTTAACCCTACTTCATTTCCCTGATGTCTCTGTTTGCAAATGCTTGTAGCAGGAAATATATGCTATATATTTTTCTCTGTTTCCTTTCCTTTCCCTTTTCTTTATTACTGCAGGTTGTTCATTGACTCCATTGACAAACAGAAATTACGTCTTTTGAACAAAAGGCCCGGCCCCAGAGGAAGGCATGAGAACAGATATATAAAGCGAATGTCTGGGGAAAAGGGAGAAGAGAGGAAGATTTGTGCATCTTAACAGCAGAGAGGATCCACACCTTATTTGTAGGCATCTATATCCAGAGCCTGCAGCCAAACTCTTGAAGAGGAAACACTATCTGGCTTTCACTGAAAAACAGAGCCTGAGGCAGAGAGCCTATTTGCAAACAAATCGCAGAGTGTACTGCCCAGGAGATAGGAATGAGGGATAAAAGAAGTGAGACAGAGAAAGAGAGAGAGCACATACAAACAATGCGTCACCAAATTGGGGCCAGTTTAGCATCATAACACAACCCAATGCTGTAACATTTGGGGACATCTCCCGAAATGCTGCTTGGAACTAGTACATTTTAAAACAGGCCATTGCTGGTGAAAGAGGGGAAAGGAAGATTGAGCAGTTAATCTGCCATTTCTTTCCTATCTTTGAGCTCAATGTAGCTATAGGATGTAACTCTGTAGGCCCCACAAACACACAGTTCAGGCCTGGGTTTTCCAGCACTTTTGAGCAGCCGTTGGGTAAA